TTTCATCTTACAGGCTATCTTCCTTGCAAATTCCTTGGGTCCTCCCTTTAGAACACAAAGTTTAGATCATTCTTAGCACAGCCTTTCCCATATGTAAATTTATATATAATTCTATATGGGAAATGTACGCCTAAGTAAAGAACAGAGTGGTCACTGACACCCACCCCTTTGAATGAGGCCTGAGGAAACTGAGGTTCTTGCATGAACCCCATTACCTCTGGCAATGAACAACGTTTTTACCCAGCTAAGGGTGCTCTGCAGATGTTATCACTTGTTGTATGTTGTTGGATGTGAAAAGAGTTTGAGAAGCAATCCTACAGTGTGACTCCTTGGGGGATGCATCCAGATAAGGTCCTGGCTTTTGGTCACTTCTCCCCGGGGACATCTGGATACCAACTCTAGCAGGAGTTGGTACTATATGCACAAAAGCAAACCATCTGCTCGACATGGGCATCACATGAAGTGTTTACCCACTTTGTTGTCCGAGCTCAAGCACATCAGAGAGCAAAAGGAGGGCCATTAATGATGACTCCGGCTGTAAACCAGTCATCTGGCGCAAACAGAGACACTCGACCACAGCACATTGCTGAGCGAAAGTGGCTTTTTTTTTTTTTTAAAGTTAATTTCTTTGCTTCCACTAATGTTAAATGGAAAGAATTCAACAATCAAAGCAACTGAAATGTATTTACAAAGTCCTTCTGCTCTAACTCTCCAACTGACCTGTGCCTTCCTACTTCTCATGGCCACACAGGTTACTTTTAATAGTTCTTTTTTTTTTTTGGTATTACAGTGTTTCTCTATGTGAAATCAGAGGATACATCTATTTTAGAGGCAGGTTTTACATAAAAATATAGAACATATTGGGGCCTTCCCTGATGGCACAACAGGTTAACGCACCACATTATGAAACTCTCTGAAGCCTCTACAGCACGAGTTTGATCCCCAGCCAGGGAGCTGATCCACATGGCGTGGCAAACCTCTCCTGACCCGCCTGCTGCTCCCCAGTGTACTTTGTCAATCTAACTGTTCTGCTCCCCACTCTGTTTCTGGTGAATCCTCTCACCACCCCTTCACCTCTGGCCTGTACCCCAGTTCTATAAGCACAAATAAATAAATCTTTAAAAATATATAGAGAACATATTATATAAAACTTCAGAATTACCTTACACTGGCATTACTTTAAAGCATTTATATATTCATTTCCCCTTACTTATAAACATTTGCTTTTTTTCAAACAGTAGTAATGATACTTTGAATTTTTGACCACATTAAATACCACTGAATTTTTCCATTAAATTTTAGGCACAGGTAATTTTATTTATTTCTTAAGGATTTATTTACTTATGCATATAAGAATTGGGGCAATAGGCCACAGGTGTTGGGGGTGAGAAATTTCACTAAAGACAGTGGGGAGCAGAGCAGGCATATCTACTTAAATACTCTACTGGGGAGTAGTGGGTAGGTCAGGAGAGGTCTGCTGCACCATGTGGGTCACCTCCCTGGCTGGGGATCAAACTTGTGTTGCAAAGGCTACAGAGAGCTTCAAAGTACTCTGCTTTAACTGTTGCACCACCAGGGAGGGCCCCACAGGTAATGTTAAGGTGTCATCTTTTTTCCCAAGTCATGAGCTACTTGATGGAGCTCTATTCCTTCCTCTCTTCTACTCCTGGTACAGAATAGACACTGAGCTAGCCCTTTCTCCTGAGAGAGGTTGACAACAAAGAGAAGAACAGCTTTCCTGGCTAGGTAAAACCTGAGTCTCCAATTATTCAGTATGTCTTTTGAATTCTGCACTAATTTTAGGTAATGTTTGCAATTCCTGTGCTCAGGTATCTCCATCCATTGCTAGCTTTCTGTGGGATGGCACACAGCCATGCCAGTCTGCTCAGCTAATGCCAAGACATCCAGATGCTTAATAAGATACAGCAGAGGAAGCAGCTCTGTTACAGAGTCTGATTTATAGAAGGGGAATAGAGAAAGCTGATGCGATGTGAATATAGAGAGAACTAAAAATAAGCCATAAAGTAGCCACTCTGAGTGCTGCACAATTATTCATTTGAAAATCTAAAGAGGGTTAATCTCTGCAGATTCAGGAAATAAGGACAACAGCAGAGTCACTTGGTGTTTGAATTTGTTGAGGATGCAGTGGTTTAGTGAAAGGGTGTGTACAATTACTCATCTCGAGGAAGGGCAGATATTTCAGATGCAGTGGAATGCAGGTTAAGACTGAATGAGTGTCATTGATTATCCAAGTACCTGAGATATTTTTCAAAGAGACTCTTCTAATCATGGAATTACATTAGCATTCTGAGAAGCAAATCTCTCTCTCTCTCTTTTTTTTCCTTTTGCTCAGAATTCTTCAGCTCTTGCAGGATGAGTTTATGACTGGATTTCAGAACACTCTTTCTATGTTTTTAAATATTTAATTATGCATACAGAGCCGGGGGACAGGCCAGAGGTGCAGGGATGGTGACAGGATTCACCAGAGACACAGTGGGGAGCAGAAGAGACAGATTGACAAAGTATACCGCTGACAGGAGCAGCAGGCAAGACAGGAGAGGTCTGCTGTGCCATGTGGGTCACTTTTCTGCCTGGGAATCAAACTCATGCTGTAACGGCCATGGCTAGCTTTGTAAGGCTGCACTTAACTTGTATCACAGGGAGGACCCTCATTTTATGTTGATGTATTTGGTCATCCTTTATGTTTATCTTTTTATCTTGATGGTGCTTAGCTGAATTCAGACCCCAGATGCTGATCTCAGGACTTTTGAAGGAAATTCTGAGGATGGGAAAGTATAAACCTCCTGAGAAAGTACAGGATAGTAATAACAGTAGTGGTGATGGAAATAGTGACAGCAGTACTGTAATAGGGCTTAGAAAAGTGCACTGAGAGTGGTGTCTTGGGTATTCAACAGTCAATAACTGAACCAATGAGCATAGGAGGGACACCGGAGGAGGAGACTGTATTAAGTGCCAGAGGTGATGATGTCCAGCACAGAGTGGCAGTGGTGTTCTGTTGACAAGCTGAGTAGTACACAGAATGATGAACTGGATGAGGAGTGTCTTTTCTTATAAAGAGAATTTTTGAAAAACGAAAGTCACTTTTGGGGGTCTCAAGGTGTTATTCTCCAAGTGTGCACATCATTACACAAGTTGGGTTGTGTCTCCCCATAAAAATAAGTATGGAACTGGCCCTCCCTGGTGGCACAGCGGGTTAAAGCACAGCACTAAGAAGCTAAAAGCCACTTCTGCATGAGTTTGATCCCCGCCTGCCCCAGAGGAGACCACATGGCACAGCAGACCTCTCCTGACCCGCCCGCTGCTCCCCTCAGCAGTGTACTTCGTCCATCTGCCTGTTCTGCTCCCCGCTCTGTCTCTGGTGAATCCTCTCACCTTCCACATCTCTGGCCTGTACCCCAGTTCTGTATGAATAAATAAATAAATCTTAAAAAAAAAATGTATAGAACTTAGAAAAGTTCTAATTGTTCATACATATAGGCGATGTCCTGAGACTGGATTCCAGAGCCCAAAAGTCAGGGCTGCAGAGATGAGAAAGCCATTTGAAAGAAAAGATGATCTGCTTCCCTTCCTGTGCCAACATCCTGCCCCAGAGTAACCCCTACTGAGAGCTCATCACACCCCACCAGCCACTCCAGGGAACACAGGGCAGGAGCCCCTGGGGCCCCTCCAGGATCAGGAGCTACAAGAAGGGAAGTGTCTTGGGTAGAGGGTTGCTGAGGGGAGAGGCGCCAAGTCCTGGTGTTGCCAAGTGAGGGAAAGGGCAGGATGGGCCCGCAGAGATGAGGAGCTGAAGAAGGACTCGGAGGGGCTCTGCACTCCTAGGTAAGGCCAGTCAGGTGTGGGAGGAAAATCACAGGTCCATTGATGCAAATCCACCTTCATCACCAAATCATTTTTTTCAGTGACTTTAGAGAACCACAAACTACCGGGACTGTATGGGACATTAGATCTATTTAAAATTCTCCACTTTAAGGCCCTCCCTGGTGGCACAGCGGGTTAAAGCACAGCACAAAGAAGCTTAAGTCACTTCCGCATGAGTTCGATCCCCCGCCTGCCCCTGTCCCCGAGGAGATCCACATGATGAGGCAGACCTCTCCTGACCCGCCTGCTGCTCCCCTCACTAGTGTACTTTGTCAGTCTGTCTGTTCTGCTCCCCACTCTGTCTCTGGTGAATCCTCTCACCCTCCGCATCTCTGTACCCCAGTTCTGTATGAATAAATAAATAAAAATCTCAAAAAAAAATTGTCCACTTTAGAGAAGAGAAGGTTGATGTGAAAAGATGTTCATTTTGAGTTAATGGCAAAACGAGTTTAGTTAGCTGATTCCCAAAGAGAGTGCAATTTAGACTTAATCAGCCCTGGAACCATAATGCAGCGACTGACTCCAGCAACTTACACACCCCAGGTAGACGTTCTGGTCCCACAGCACGTTTTGGGAGTCCTTCCTTCAAATGCAGTCGACTCTTTGATTCCTCACTTGTCTTTCTCCATCAACAATTCCTAAGACCATCCCAAATAGGCTCTCTCTGAAGCAGCCTTTGCAGTCACATTTTAGAGAGTGTAAGTCTCCTTTTCCCACTGGTTAGCACACCTAATTGTTGAAAAAGAAGGAATGAGGTACAGGCAGATGCTCAATCCCCTTCACTGTGACTAAGAGTGGACAAGCAGGAGAAATGCCTTAGTTTCCTGTTTTCGGATGGCAAATGTGGGAGAAGGTCCCAAAGCCCACCTCAGGCATCATGTCCCATAGAACCGGAAAGTTTCTGCGGCTTGGATTCTGAAACCTGTCTCTTAACTCTCTCAGCAACAAACTGTGATTTTATGCAAATCGTTTCTGCCTTTGGTCTTCAGTTCCTCTTTTGAAAAGTGAAGACAGTTGTTTTGATAATGTGTAAGTTATTTTCAGGCATTTCCCCACTTCTGGTTCTGGGAAATTTCTCAAGTAGCAATTAATGTCTTCACCCCTCGTGCCCAGGTACCATGGACCATGTCAACCACACGTGGACCCAGAGCTTCATCCTGACTGGTTTCATGCTCCCTGGGACCCTGAGGCCACTGGCATTCTTGGGAGCCCTGTGCATCTACCTCCTCACCCTGGCGGGCAACTTGTTCATCATCGTCCTGGTGCAGGCAGACTCCGGGCTGGCCACACCCATGTACTTCTTCATCAGCGTGCTCTCCTTCCTGGAGCTCTGGTACGTGAGCACCACAGTGCCCCTGCTGCTGCACTCCTTGCTCCATGGGCGGACTTCCATCTCGCCAGTGGCGTGCTTCCTCCAGCTCTATGTCTTCCACTCCCTGGGCATGACCGAGTGCTACCTGCTGGCTGCCATGGCACTGGACCGCTACCTGGCCATCTGCCGCCCGCTGCACTACCATGCCCTCATGAGCAGGCAGGTGCAGCTGTGGCTGGCAGGGGCGTCATGGGTAGCTGGCTTCTCAGCTGCGCTGGTGCCAGCGAGTCTCACAGCCACCCTGCCCTTCTGTCTGAGAGAGGTGACCCATTACTTTTGTGACCTGGCACCACTGATGCGGTTGGCATGTGTGGACACAGGCTGGCATGCTCAAGTCCATATTGGAGTGATTGGCACAATCAATGCATGTAACCTTATATTCATTTTTGGACTGTATGGGAGAATCCTGAGAGCTGTGATGAAGCTCCCCTCAGCTGCCAGCCGTGCCAAGGCCTTCTCCACCTGCTCTTCCCACATGACTGTGGTGACACTGTTCTTTGGCTCTGCCTTCATTGTCTATGTAGGGCCATCAGGGAGTCGTCCTGAGGGTGCAGATAAGTGCATTGCCTTGGTGTATGCTTTAGTTACCCCTTTCCTCAACCCCATTATTTATACCCTGCGTAATAAAGAGGTGAAGGAGGCCATCAAAAGGGTCACCCAGAGGACTAAGGTGATGTTGAAAGGGTCCTGAGGACCTCTAGTCATAGCCCATCCATTTACTAACTGTAGGATTTGTTTAGTTAATCAATCATCTAATCAACTAATCAAATACTTTGTCAGACACACTTCATATACCAGTTAAAATGGCTGGAGTCTTTGATTAGGATAAATTTGGAAAATTTGTAGAGGGATGAGAAATATGGCTTCCCAATCCATATCTATCTAGTATGGATGAAAAGACATAGATGTTATCAAATAACCAAGAAGTGAAGATTCAAGTGACGATATGCGGTAGACTTAGAACGCAATGTGAAATAAGACTCTGTTTAGAAGAACTTGGAAGAACCAAAGCTGTCTGTGGGATTGTGCTCAAGCTAGGGTTCCTGAAGAAGAGTCGTGAACATATTAAATTAGTTTAGCATAAAGAAAGATAAGAGAGCTCTTGCACACATAGTAAGCTGTGCATTATGAACTAGGGAAGAGGGCTCAATAAAAGTATGTTTGAAGCTGGAATTGAGAATTTATTCTATAATGCTGAAGTCTGGGGATTAGAGATCAGGGTGCTAGGTTCAAATGAGCTATAGAATTTCAAATCATCTGTGATCTGAATTTCAAGTCATCAGGTGTCTATAGGCAACATCATTGACTTGTTGTTAGAGTCCCTTGGGTGCAAAATTAGCTATGGAGCCAACAGGGGGCATAAAGATTGCTGCTTTCAAAGGGGTTAGTTTCCTCTCTCTCTCTCTTTCCAGCATCAACAGGTTGACTAATATCAAGAAATAGGCTTTCCATTTTGCTGTGTTACCTTTGATGGGGACAGAGGAAGAAGAGGAATGGAGCACATGGATTGCCAGAAAAGGAGATAAAATTAAGGGTCATAGAAATTAATTCTGACATATTTTGAGCCTGAGACTCTGGCACCCAATACCCTGCACACTAAGTTGATACTGCTCTGAAGGTTTTTTTCAGGTCAGGTGTGAAATTACAGGATTCCTTTTGGAGACTCCTTGTCTTGGGATAGCATAGGCATAGCTCTATTCAATCTACAGAAAAGAAAACTCATTTTAAAAATAATTATTCTCAGAAACATTTATTAATCTGTCCATCTGGCTATTATTACAATGGCTTTTTATTTCAATTGAGATAAAACTGATTTACAACAATTCTAGAGATCTAGGGAATCTGTTCCCATCTCTTTACAGGTATGTTACCACACCACATCCACCACCATAATCTTCCACCACATTCAATTGAATTCTTTCCCCCAATCCTTTTTCTCTAGTAGTCTTAATTTCGCAGTCATGTTTCTAAGATTTGTTTTGGCTTAGTTTTTTTTCTATTTCTCTGTATTGTATCTTGATAATCCACATGAGTGAAATCATCTGGTATTTGGGTTTAGGCTTTTTTTGTTGTTGTTGTTGTTCTTCTGATTTACTTCATTTAATATAATCCCTTTCAGTTGTATCCACATTGCCAAAAATGGAAAGATTTCACCATTTTATAGCTGAGTCTTATTCCATTGTATATATGCTCCATATCTTCTTAAGTTGGGCACTTGTTTCTTTCATAACTTGAATGTCTTCAAATTAGTGTTTTTGCATTTTTTAAAGATTTATTTATTTATTCATATAGAACTGGGGTACAGGCCAGAGATGCGGAGGGTGAGAGGATTCACCAGAGACAGAGTGGGGAGCAGA